GGAACAAGATCATTAGGTTCGTTCATCCGGGCGTCAAACTTATAGATTTTTCGCCCAATGAACGCTTTCTCGTTACATGGAGTAATGAGTCTATCTCTCTTGGGCCAAATGGTGGCATAGGTACTCCATTTGGACCCGAAGATGAAGGACATCAAATTATTATATGGGATGTTTTAACTGGAAACCTTTTGCGTTCATTTCCTTCTTCAACATCGACTGATGGTGCTCCTAATAAAATCACATGGCCAATGTTTAAATGGTCTCCATCAGACAAATATTTTGCCAGGGTTACGCCAAAGCAACAGATTTCTGTATACGAAACACCCTCAATGGGATTGGTTGGAAAGAAAAGTTATAAAGTTGAAGGAGTAGAAGATTTTGAATGGGCTCCTGCGTTTGATAAAGAAAGAGAAAAACAGAACGCAGGTGACAAAAAGAATAGAGAGGAAATGCTAAGTTACTGGACACCTGAAATTGGCAATCAACCTGCTCGTGTCACGCTATTAAATATTCCATCCAAAGAGATTGTACGAACAAGAAATTTGGTTAATGTTAAAGACGTAAGTTTTGTCTAGTAAATGAAAATTTTTAAAGATAAATTCAAGATTATATTTATTTCATTATATTATTATTTAATTTATATTAGTGTAAGATGCATTGGCAATCAAATGGAGATTTCTTGTGTGTTAAAATTGATCGACACACAAAGACCAAAAAATCCACTTTCGCAAACCTTGAAATATTTAGGGTCCGTGAGAAAGATATTCCTGTTGAAGTCATTGAGGTTAAGGACACTGTGATTGCTTTTGCATGGGAACCTAAGGGTGAACGTTTCGCAATAATTACAACAAATGACCCTAATTATGGACAGTCAACACAAGGCGTGAGAACTAATGTCTCATTTTATTATCTTGAGAAACCTAAACCTGGTAAAGGTGGAGACAAAGTTGGCACGGCTAACTTCAAACTAATTAGTAAGTTACCAAAGAATTATTACATTGTACGTAACATTTGTAGTGAAAACTTTTTTATATATCACCTTTTTTTTTTTCCAAGAAACATTGGAAAAGAAAACTTCTAATGCCATTTATTGGTCACCGCGTGGTCGACATGTAATTTTGGCAACTCTTCGCTCAACAGCTGTATTTGACTTGGAGTTTTGGGATTTGGATTTTGATACTATTGGTGATCAGAAGGAAGGATCAAAAAATGACCCAGCTGCCTCTATACAGCTAATGTCTACTCAGGAGCACTACGGTGTTACTGATATTGAATGGGACCCTACTGGACGTTATGTGATCACTAGTGCTAGTTTTTGGAGACATTCAGTAAGTAATTTAATTGGAAATTACTTCCTATAAGAAGGATTGTCAATTCAATTTTTCATACTTAATTTCTAGATGGAAAATGGATATTCTTTATGGGATTTTAAAGGAGCACTTTTGCAAAAACAATTGCTAGATAAATTTAAGCAATTGTTATGGAGACCTCGTCCAAAGAGTCTATTATCAAGTGACGCTAAAAAGAAAATCAAAAAGAACATAAGAGATTACTCTAAAGCTTTTGAAGAAGAAGACGCCCTTGCACAAACTTCGGTATCTAAAGAATTGTTGGCACATCGTCGTCGCCTTGTTGATGAGTGGAATGCTTGGCGTAAACGCGTTGAAAAGGAATTAGCAGAAGAAAAAGAAAGAGCAGGTGTGCAAATTATCCCTAGAAGAGATGATGATGAGAACGTTGAAATTATTGAAGAATGGATTGAAGAAGTTGTAGAAGAAACCGAAGAAATTGTTGAGGATTAGTTAACTTAATCATTAATTTCAATAGGTAATTGTTTTGAAGAGTTGATTAAGATATTTATATCACAATATTTAATTATTTTAAAATGTAAAATACAAAAATTTGACAGATAATCTGTGTTCAATTCTATTTTAAAAATATCTTTTATTGAAAAGGTTTCCACTAAATAAAAAGATGAATTACAAAATTTAACAAATTAAGGGATTTTCAACAAACAATTTTTTTTTTAAAAAATTTTTGTTCTAATCCTTTTTATTATTACTATGAAGTTCATCTAGGTTTCCTTCAATTTCTGCCAATTTTTCCTTTTGTTTAGCAATTTCTTCACGAAGATGTTTAATTTTCTCAGCATCCTATAAATATAAAAAAAGAAGTTGTTAGATTATTTTTAATTGTTAATTAATATTAATTTCAATTAATTACATGAGAACGCATCCATTGGTCTTCAACAGCCTTTTCTTTTTTGGAAAAAGCAGAGTCAGTAGCATCTCTAATATGACCTTGAGGTCCAGAAGTATAATAACGAGGACGTGTGAATATGGTAGTAACAGCAGCCAGCTGTGAATTTAATAAATGACAATTTTGTCTTGCTAATGCTGCAGTTGGAACATGATTAAATAAACAAAAGGCTCCGATACGAGAAAGTACAGTTCGCATTTTATCTCTCTCGATTGGAATTTTTAAAACAAGTGGTGGCTTACTGGGACTTTTTGAGCTTGTCTATCGTAGTCAATCTGATTTGATCAAAATTAAAAAACCCAGGTGATTGGTTACTGCGTAGATCATCAGACTTTCTTTTTATCTAAAAATTTTTTTGATATCGATATAGGGACGCGAAAAATTGATTACACGTGATCATAGAATCACAATTTTTTTTACCTTTCACCTCCTCAAGGGCTTTGAGGTTTCACAATTGTTAATGTGATTATTCTTTAAGCATTTTAGCATAGTAATTGAGATGACCATGATCAATTTAAATAAGAATTGCAATTAATACTTCTCTTCATTTTTAAGTTTTAAAGCGAAATAAAACTAATAAAAAGAATAAAAGGGCAACTGCTCAAATTATACCCAATAAAGAAAATGCTTGAACGATCTCACTTATCATGATAAATTTTAGCCAATTAACGTAAAAGAAAAGATGTTAAGCTTATAAAAAAATTTCATATTATTTTAAATAAGTTCGTATATTACTTTTTTTTTTAGAATTATTTTTAACATTTTTTTTTGATATATAAGGAATTATTAATCAACAATATATAAATTTTGCATAATATTAATTGATTTTTATTAAAAATAAAAGAATTAATGGATTTGTTTTAATTAATAAAATTGGATTTATTTGTTACTATCATTATAAATAGTATTCAAATATTAATATCTTCACAGTTCAAAAAAAATATTGAGCTTCCAACTGATATTTAATATGAATTGAGTTTTACTACTTAAAATAAAAGTTTCATTTCAAAACATAATAAAAAAAAATTAAAAATTTAAACTAAATTAAAAAAAAATGTTTATAAATAAATAAAAAATTAAAGCAAAAAATTTCTAAAAAAAAAAGAAAATAAAATAATTAGTAAATATAAATTTATTAAAATATGTGTTTAAAAAATAAATTAAATTGCAATTTTGAACTAATTAAACTAATTAAAGGTATAATACAATCATGCCTTGATATAATGAAGTAGCTGATCCAACTAATAAGGCTTTCGTTATAAAAATCTTTGTTAATGCTATAACAAATTATTCATTATATATACCAAATAATTCATTATATTATTAATATCAGTGACTTAACATTTTAATACTTTTAGACATTAAAAATCATTAACATTAAGTATCTATGATGTTATTTTTTTTAATTTTAATTTTTCTTTATTTTTTTATTTTTTCTCTTTTTTAGAATAGGTAAGCTTTTCTAAAAATGTTTCTAATGTTCTTTTTTTTTTTTTTAAAAAACTAGAGCTTTGAATAAGTCAGTTCAGTTAAGTCAATTAAGTTACCTAAACTGAGAGAATCAGATCAAATCAAACAAATATCTGACCTGATTTAAATTTTTATTTAACCTGACCTAACCTGATTAGATCTAATCTAATCTAATTTGATCATATTATTTAAAAATAATATATTATATTTGATTTAATTTAAAACTTTAATTTATTTTATTATTTTTTTTTTTGCTTTTTTTATAAAAAAATTATATGCAAAATGATATAAAAATTTTTAATTTAATAATTAATTACAGTTGTACAATTAATTATAGTCATATGATTAATTATAATTTTACTAAAAATAATTTTCCAATTTTTTTTTCTTTTTTTTAATAAAAAAACACTTTTATTTTATTTAACATATTCTTTAAAAAACAACCTTATTTTTTAAACTTAAATACTTGAACTTGTAAGAACTCTTACTAAATATAATTTTTTTTATTTTTGTAGATTTTTAATTTTTATATATACAGTCGTTCCTCTCTATAGTCACCCTATATAATTATATCATATAAATCTCTCATTATAAGCACACATTTCATAAGAACTAATACCTATTAATGTTATATAATAAAATCCTTTTATAATCATAGTGTTTTTATAGTCATACCCTTCTAGAACTAACATTTAGTAACAACATATAAAAAATCCCCTTCTATAGTAATTTTTTATTATAATCACATTTTTTATTTTTAGTCTTGAGAGGTGTGACTATAAAAGGGAATGACTGTATTTAATATTTTTTTTTATAAACATTAATACTAAGATTCATGATAAATTTTAAGTACTTTAGTTAAAGTCAATCGTCTTTTATTTCTAAATAAAAGTTATTTAGCAGATTTGATACTATTTATATATAAAATTTTATTAAGATTGAATTAATATTTGTGTAATAATATGTGTTTTTGTAACTTTATTAATAGTGCAGATTTTTTTTAACTTTACAGGATAATTTGAGCATTTTAGTTAAAATCAATTATTTCTATTCTTTAAGTAAAAGTTATTCAGCAAATTTAATACTATTTATATCAAATTTTTTATCTTGATTAGATTAATATTTGTATAGAAATAATTTTTTTTGTAACTTTATTAAATAAATCATACTTTTTTTAATTTCACAAGGAAATTTGAATACTTTAGTTAAAGTCAATCACCTTTTATTTTTAAGTAAAAGTTATTCAGCAGATTTGATACTATTTATATCTAATTTTATATTGATTGGATTAATATTTATATAATAATATGTATTTTTATAACTTTATTAATATCGCAGCACTTTTTTTAACTTCACAAGTTAATTTGAGTACTTTAGTTAAAGCCAATTACCTTTCATTTCTAAGTAAAAGTTATTCATAGATTTGATATTATTTATACCTAATTTTTATATTGATTAAATTAATATTTATATAGTAATATGTGTTTTTGTAATTTTATTAACATCACAGCACTTTTTTTAACTTTATAGGTTAATTTGAGCACTTTGGTTAAAGTTAATTACCTTTCATTTTTAAGTAAAAGTTGTTTAATAGGTTCAATGCTATTTATATCTAATTTTTATATTGATTAGATTAATATTCGTATAGAAATAATTTTTTTTGTAACTTTATTAAATAAATTACACTTTTTTAACTTTACAAATTAATTTAATTACTTTAGTTAAAGTAAACTACTTACTATATATTAAATAAAATTTTCTATATATCTGAAATTACTAATAACTTTTTATAACTTTATTAATTTTTGAATATTTTTTATTTATTTTTTATTTAGAATTTTACCAACCAGACACCATCAATTATCAATCCCATATTTTCCAATATTAATAAATTTAATGAAACATTATCTAACTTCACATATCCTATCAATCTAACATCAACAAATTCTTAGGTCTTTATTATACTGTGCTAAAATTGTTTTGAAAGAAGCAATTGATATTGCAAAGGTAAGTTATATTAAAAGCGAAAAAGATATTGGGGACGGGATTAAAAAATTAGAAGATAGGAAAACTTGACACT